ATGGACTATAAGAAACTGAAGGTTTTGTCTCTCCTTATATCACTATATGGACTATAAGAAACTGAAGGTTTTGTCTCTCCTTATATCACTATATGGACAATAAGAAACTGAAGGTTTTGTCTCTCCTTATATCACTATATGGACTATAAGAAACTGAAGGTTTTGTCTCTCCTTATATCACTATATGGACTATAAGAAACTGAAGGTTTTGTCTCTCCTTATATCACTATATGGACTATAAGAAACTGAAGGTTTTGTCTCTCCTTATATCACTATATGGACTATAAGAAACTGAAGGTTTTGTCTCTCCTTATATCACTATATGGACTATAAGAAACTGAAGGTTTTGTCTCTCCTTATATCACTATATGGACTATATGTGTATAATAAATGTAGACAATTTTCGATTATTTCAGACAACATCTATGTTCTTGTGATAATAGCAACATAACTTGAACCGTTGATTTTGAATAAAGTCTAAACGCTCGCTATTATGGAGTCTTGCTTGAGAAACGTTTGTTCAACAGTTCTTGAAATTAGCTCCCTCCTTCCCTCCTCCAATTTTAGAATCGCGACATAAAGCGCAGAAACATACAAACTCTAAAAGTACTCTATTCACCCAGATCACAGATTTCTCAGGAGTAAGGCGATACACTTCTCAGCTGTAAACAGATATTTGTCACGTATCAGTGTTTCTATATGTTTTTGTTATTAAACACAAAGCTACACAATGGGCTATCTGCACTGTGCCCACCACGAGTATCGAAACCCAATTTTTAGCGTTTTAAGCCCACTGACTTACCGCTGAGCTACTTACTACTCTGACTGCATGTAACATCCAAGATAGGTGGTATCGTTTATTAGTGTATATGACGTGCCATTATCGAGCCCTGTTTCGGATCAGATTCATTTGTAGCCTTTGCCTTAACGATCAGTTTATCTTCGTCATAATATAGACCTGATTTTCTTAAGAGTGTCTACTTTCTCTGCTGTAAAACATTTT